GTGCAGAGGGAGCCAGGGCTGAAACTGCTCTTGCTTCTGGGCTCTGTGCAAAGAGACAAGCACAAGGGACAGGCCGTTACTTATCACTTCCAACTTTCCTGCTTTTCACATCTACAGCCAACCTGCTCTACTCAGGAGAAACCATCAGCTTGCACAGCAAAGGGATTCTAAGTCACTCCTATTAATTGAAAATGACTACTTTAGCCATACTGTATAAGGCTCTTAATGCCATCTTCATCCACATCTTCTAGCAGCAAGCTATGTTCACTGCGTAAAACTGGGCTTTTATTTCTTTCAAGATTTTGAATGAAAAATTTGGAAATACGTAGCCACACCTTTCCTATTTCTGCTGCACACATTTTAAATATTTACTTCCAGCCTTGTCCGCTGGCTATCTATACTCTTCTGCTACTGGCTATGGTTACTGCTTGCTCTACCATTCCTAAACACCTGGAATATCAAAGATTGCTTTCTTACTCACCTTTGAATGGCCAGTTCTGCATACACGCCTCAGGTGACCTGCAGTGAGCAAGGGAAAATGAACCCAATGGGGTGAGAAAACTGCCTGGGCTGCTGAATCCCATAGATTATGTGAACCCAAACAGAGGGTATTTTCCTTCGACAGCCTTCCTCAGGAGACACAATTCTTTCACACATCCAACAAGGAACTGGGCAATATTCTTGCTTGTGCCTACGCTTTGGCCTGTTTTGCTAGTATATGAATACAAACTTGATCAAGATAATGCCATTTCTTCTTTAGCACTCAATGCTTCTGTTCTACCCCGGACACAAAGCAGCTTTTTCAATCCTCTCCTTCAAGTACTCCTGGGGTTTTTTGTTTTTTGGGTTTTTTTTAATTTTATTAGTTGCATGCAGTAGTTCTCATTAACTTGCTGAAAAGAATTCCCCAGAAAATCTTCCCCCAAGTCCCCCTGGACTGTGGCAGATCTATTGTGAAACAGAGCAGCACCAGCTCCAGGCTTCAGGAGCTGACACTGCTTCGGAGTTTGCCCTCCATTGCAAAGGGAATCACTATTTTAGCACTCAGAAAAGGGTGAACTCAGATAGTCATATCCTTTCATGATAATTTTTTTTTGAAAAAGAAGCTTTCTTTGAATTCTGGGAACAACTGCAGAGATTTTAGAAGGCCTTTCAAGAAGGTCTCTCAGTCTACATTTTCAAAGTTGTCCTCCTTCATCCAGCAAACTGAGGAAGCAACAGACTCTGCTGCCACAGACTCCCCTTCTCTCCTTTTCCTCACTTGTGGAGGGAATGGAACCCTTGCAGGTTGCCTTGCAAATGCTGCCTGCAGACCCCTGGCTACAGACACCCTGTTTTTTGCTGAACGTGTTGATAGGAGCTTTACCATACCAGTGGCATCCTAATGGTCCTTCTGTTTCAAAATCAACCCAGGCACTAAGAAAAAGCAGGAAGACCTACAAAAGCCAGGTTAGGTTACACCCAGGGAAAACCTCTACTTACATGCCAGGTTTGCCAGATAATAGCCAGAATAAACAATGCCATAAACAGTGCAAACTGCAGCAGCAAATTGCTCCATCATTGGAGCACTGCTGTGGCAGTTTGCAGACTGTGCTCCAACACAAGAAGAACAAGGCTCCTGTCAGTGTGCAGCTGCCCACTGACAAACGCCTCAAGCAGGAGGATGCTCCCGCACTGAGCAAGCCCAAGAGCTGCTCTGACACTGAGGCCTTCCGTGCAACAAGGCAACCTTCTGATGTCACCAGGACAGTGCGGCAACCATGCCCTGGCATCACAAAGCAAGTGTTCTGCCTTGAAATTTATGCAAATTTATGCAAAGCAACCCAACCTTCCCTACAGCAAACACAAAATAGCCTGGCAAGTTCTCCTCTGTCACAAAGGTGCACAAACTCCCCTGCTGGAACAAACCCTGTTGTTCAAGGGATCCAAGAGTAAAACCAAGGGTGCTCCAAGCACCTACAGCCTGTTCCCCAACTGAGCACCCAGATGAGACCAAAGACAAGGAAACCAGTCCAAGAAAATGGCCCAAAACATTGCACAGAACCATGAAAGAAAGCACTGTTGCCATAACAGCTGAAATAATTCCTAACAAATCTCTCCACATATTTGCACATTTATTGGACATACCCAGGGTTCCTTCGTATGTCTGTCTCTACCTCAGCCTTTATTCCACTTTGGAAGCAGTCAAACTGGCAGGATTTGCCCACCAGCAGCAGCTGCTGCTCTAAGCTGGGAATAAAGAGTGGTGCTGCTGATTTCCAGAGGCTTCTGTCCCCCAGGTGAAGCCAAGGCAGGAGCAGGATGACAGGTGCTAGCACTGCTGCTGCTGCTGCTGCTCTGTGCCACAGAGTCCCGGCCAGGCAGGGCACACTGCCCACTGCGCTGTGGGCTCTTTCTCCTGCCAGAGCTGGGCACACCTGGGAACAAGTGATGATGGGAAAGTCATGGTGTTGGGAAAACCAAGACATTTGTGGGGACTGCATTGCTCCTTACACACTCAGGCCACCTGCAGCACAGAGCTTTGGCCCCCAGAAAGGTAAACCAGAGGGAAACTGCGGCAGCGCAGCAGGAGCTGCTAAAGCCTTCCCGAGAGCTCTGTGTCTCCAATGGAAAGGGATAGCTCTGAGCACCAAGCACTCATGCACCGCTGTGTTGTCTGAGGGTTGACAAATAAGTACGAGAGGGGTTCTTTGTATGACATTCCTGTGGAGTCTATTGCTCTCACACAGAAGGGAACTAGGGACAAAGAACCCAGAACAGAGAAGGGACTACGGTTATCCACAGATAGAGAACATCAGACCTGAGGGCCACGTGTTGAGGGCACAGGGGCAGTGCAAAGGTGGAGCCAACCAGGGTCTTGGTGGTGGAGTGATAGGGAATGGCAACCAACAGGGAAAACAAATGCAGGGAACATTCTAGAACTGGAGTGGAGACTAGGGATGACATAATTCTTGGCTGGGGACAAGGAATGACATAACTAGGATGCTGAAACTGGGGTACATAAAACACCAAAGGAGACATAGGAGAACATTCTTTAAACAGAGGTCACATCCCAGAGCATCTTACTAACAACTTTCCCCACCAGCTCCTGGGGTGCAACAGGAAACAGCTGGAAAATGTTTCATTTGGACTTTTCTTACCTGCTCAATAGAAATTGCCAAACTTAACATCACCAAGCAGGGCCCAATCCCCACGGCCAGCTAAGGGTTAGAAAGGAGGCATTATTTTAGTTCTGCTCTGGGTGTGTGGGGAATCCCTTCCCGAACTTGTGCACACCCAGCAATCTCACCTACTAGTTTGTATCCATGGAACTAAGACATATTCAATGCTTTGCTGAAACTCACAGGCTAAATACTGCCCCAAATTAATGGACATATTTAAATCACTTCTCAGAATTTATTGACATGAGAGCAGGGCTGTCCTGAGGCTCTCTGGTAGTCATTGTCATAGGTTCAGGAGGAAACCAACGCACAAAAGAACCTGACCCAACTGGGGTTGCAAAGCAAATTTATTCTATTACTTGCAGTAGCAAATAATACATACCAACCCATGAATTCCAAAAAACCCACTGAGCAGGAGGAGATGAAGCATGGTGCTTGGCAAGAGGGCAGGTAGGCAGTGCACTTTTGGACATCCCATACATCAAAATAGTGATCGTTTTGTATCTCACCCTTCTCACCCCTCCAAGCCAGGCCTTATATCTCCTGCTCAGGAGTGGAATTTTCCCAGTGACAGCATCAGCTCCCACATGGCCTGCACATGAGATGAGGTCACGATGGCTCAGAATACCGACTCCGTGCCAACAAAGCCTCCTGTGCCAACAAAGCCTCCATTCTGCATTGTTCCTCTTTCAAAAGTTAACTGCCCACCCATTGACCAATCCATTGTTTCTCGTGCAACGGTCAAGTTCCCACCCATTAAATTGTATAGTTTCCTTGAGATTTCTGAAAAAGTCAGAAGAAGGGGAATCTTCCAAATGAGTTGATGTTTCAGAAAACTTTATTTATTTAGAATTTTTTATATCCTATTCTATAATCCTACTCTACAAAACTACTAGGCAATCCTACACTAGAGTCCTACTCTACACTAGTTATGAAGACAGTGTCTTCTGTCACATTTTTGTCATCATCTTCTTCTTCAATGAAATGATGAGTGGTGACAGGGTGGATGTTGGCTTGGCTGATGTTACAAATGGATGCTGTCCAAAGGAAAAAAAACAACAAAAAGCATTAAACCATGACTTTTTAAGCTCAGAGCTTCACAGGCTCACTCAGGATTCCTCTGCTTCCTAGAAAGACCCAGAAAGGGGGCAGATAAGACCATCTGCACCTCCATCTTCATGTGCAGTACCTTGCCATCACAGGCAAACCTGGCCCAGAGTCCCACTCATCCGTTAATTCTGGTGTCTAATCTTGATGGGACTGTTTCCCTGCCACTGCTCTAGAAATGGTGCTTTCTGTCCCTGGGGATTCTACCTTTCAGGAAACTCCAAAGCCTCACATAGGTTCCTCTCTTTGAAAAACAGGCACTGTGCTAATTTCCACAGGCAGACAGAGCAGTGTCTACCTTTCCATGCCCTGCTCCTCCAGTGCTGGATGGCACCTTCCTTCCCAGCAGGGACAGCCGAGTGGCACTGGGTCCTGCAGTTCCCTCTCTGCCACACAACCTGGCAGTAACCCTGGGGCAGTTGCTGTCTGCTTGACCGTGCCAGGCTGAGGATGGGGCAGGGACAAGTCCCACTCAGCTGTCCCTGTTTGCACGGCAGAAACCTCTAAGAGAGGGGCAGGGGGCACAAACCAGGGCCCCTTGGAGGTTCACAGTGAGCCCTCGACAGCCCCTCCTTCCTACAGCCAAATCTCTGACCACTCAGCCAGGACTGGTTTCCTTGGCTTCCTCCACCACCATTACACACCTCTGTAATCTGGATTGCTCTACATCAATTCTTTTGTCATTAGATAAAACTGAACACCCCACCAAATTACAGAGCAGGGCAACAGAAACAGAGCGCAGAGCACCTCTCCTCTGAGGACAGGCTGAGAGACCTGGAGTTATTCAGCCTGGAGAAGAATAGACCCCAGGGAAACTTCATTGCCACTTTCCAAATCTTCAAACTGGCTTCTGAGGGAGTGTGGGACATCTTTTTGAACAGGTCCAGTTACAACAGGATGTGGGCTAATATTTTTAAGAAAAAGGAGAGCGAGTCAGCGCCCCTAAGGTCTAAGGAAGAACTTCACTCAGACCATGGTGCAACACTAGCACAGGTTGCCCCAAAATCTCGTAGGTGCCCTGTTCCTGGAACCATTCCAGGCAGGTGGGAGAGGGCTCTGAGCATCCTGATCGCTTTAAAGATCTCTCTGCTCATTGCAGGGCACT